TTTCAGTTTTTGAATTTTTTGATGTTCGGAATTTTTGATTTCACGGTTTTTCGATTTTCCAATTTTTCGCCATTTTAGCTTTGGAATTTTTTAATTTCTATATTTTTCAGTTTTTCTATTCTTCAGTGTTCCATTTGTTTAATTTTTCGACTTCGTATGTTGTGGATTTTTGATATAGATTTCTATGTTTTCGACTTGTCCATTTTTTAATTTTGGATTTGTTGGTTTTTCCGTTTTGGGATTGTTCAATTTTTCGATTCTTCACTTGTTCAATTGTCGATTTTTCAGTTTTGAGATTCTTCAATTTGTCGACTTTTCGATTTTAATTTTTCGATTTTTAAATTTTCAAAAACCAAAAACCAGAAAAATAGAAAATTCCAAAAATGAAAAATCGAAACATCGAAAAATCGAGAAATGGAGATATGAGAAAGTCAAAAAATCGAGAAATAAAGAAGTCGAAAAATCAAGAAAATTTTGAAACGCCAAAAATGAAAAAATTATCATTTTCAGTATTTTTTCGTAGATAATGCTAACGCATATATTTTCATTCGTTGAATTACTCAAATAAAAAACTGAAATGATTCGTTAACATCATGTTGTAATAAAATTTTGATTTTTTTTTTCAGAAAATTTTAAAAATTTTGTTGGTTCGAATTCTCTTTCATTTATAAAATTTTAGATTGCTCGATTTCTCCATTTTTCAGTTTTTCGATTCTCGGTTTATCGAGATATCGAAGTTCCGATTTTTTTATTATTCAGCTCCGTGGTTTTTCAATTTTTGGTTAATCTTGATTTTTTCATTTTTTTTTCGATTTCTTGGTTTCTTGATCCTTTGAAATTTCGATTTTTCAATTTATCGATGTTTCAGTTTTTTGATTGTTAAATTTCTCGGTTTTTGAATTTTTGGTTTTTCGATTTGTCGATTTTTTTTAAATTATAAATTTTTCAAATTTTAACTTCGATTTCTGAGTTTTTCGATTCCGATTTTTCAATTTTTCGAATTCTTAAATTGTTATTTTAGATTTTAATTTCTCGGTTTTCGGATGTTTGATTTTTAAATTTAGGTTTTTGAATTTTTCAATTTTTTGATTTTTGATTTTTCCATTTCTCGATTTTTCAATTTTTCACTTCTTCGATGTTCCTATTTATCAATTTTCCTGTTTTCAATCCCCGTATTTCTTCAATTTTGTATTTTCGATTTCTCGATTTTTCCTTTGATGTTCCCATTTTTCGATGTTTCGATTTTTCAATTTTCCAATTTTTCGCCATTTCAAAGTTGGAATTTTTTAATTTCTATATTTTTCAGTTTTTCGATTCTTCAGTGTTCCCATTTTTTAAATTTGGATTTTTCGGTTTTTCCGTTTTGGGATTTTTCAATTTTTCGACTCTTCAGTTGTTCAATTGTTAGATTTTTCAGTTTTAACATTCTTTGTAGACTTTTCGATTTTTGGATTTAAAATTATTCAATTTTTTCCATTTTTAAACTTTTCAGTATTTAAATTTTGGATTTTTCGATTTTTAAATTTTCAAAAACCAAAAACCAGAAAAATAAAAAAATTCAAAAATTCAAAAATCGAAACAGAAAAGTCGGGAAATCGAGATATGAGAAAATAAAAAAAAAGAAAAAAAAAAGTCGAAAAATCAAGAAATCGAAAATTTGGAAAAATTATCATTTTCAGTATTACGAGTATTTTCGTAGATAATGCTAACGAATATATTTTCATTCATTGTCGAACTCAAATAAAAAAAAAATAAGTGATTCGTTACCGTTATGTTGTAATAAAATTTTGATTTTTTTGCGAAAATTTGAATAGTGAAAACTAAAAACTGGTTCATAAACCACAAGTAGCATTTCCCAATCAAAACTTTGTGGTGACATCGACGAATTGTTAGTGGCGTTAAAATATGTATGTAAATAAACGAAAAATTGAAAAATCGAGAAATCAAAAAATTGAAACATTTAAATCAAAAGTCGATAAGTTGAAGAAGCAAAATAATGAAAAATCCCAAAACTGAAATATGAATTAATTGAAACATCGAGAAAGCGAAAAGTGGAAAAAGTGAAAATTTAAAAAATTGAAATTGAGAGAAACTAAAGAAATCGAGAAATAGAAAAATTGAAAAATCAATCAATTGTGAAATCGATAATTTGGAAATGGAATGAAAGGTGGATCTCATATACTAAACAGAAATAAAATCATTGGAATGAAAACAGCGCGGGTGGGCGGTGCCAGTACTTGCTAAGATAAGACTGATTGTGACAAATTACATACATTCTAAGAAAAGAGAGGGCGGGTGGGCGGGGCTAGTATTTCTTAAGATAAGATTGATTTTGGTAAATGACTGTAAACTATTAAGAGTACTGACTGGAATGAAGAGGGAGTGGATGGGCGGAGCTATTGCTTGCTTATAAAAGACTACAACAAAAAGTTAAACTTAGCCCCGCCCACCCACCCGTTTTTTAATTTTTTTTCTTCTGAAATAAAAAATAAATCTTATAGCAACTAGCATAACAAAAAAAATTACGATTACAGCTTATTTTTCTTTTTTTACAGCCTACGTTCTGTCATTGTCAAGTCAAGTCAAAGCGGATTCATAAACCACAAGTACTATTTCCTATTCAAAATTTTGTGGTCAAATTGTTGGTGGCGATGAAATATGACACTTATTTACGCAGATGATTTAAAAATGGCAAAGGTTATAACGAATGTTGAAGATTGCATTGAATTACAAAATAGTTTAGATCGTTTACTTAACTGGTGTGATGATAACTTGCTAACTGTTAATAAAACTAAGTGCAAAAAAATAACGTTGGCCAGAATACATAATCCAGTTAATTTTTATTATAACATTAGAGGATACGTTCTAGAAAACTGTAAAGAAGTATTAGACTTAGGTGTCATTATAGATAGTACGCTCTCTTTTCATTCACATGTTATACATATCGCAAAACATGCTATGAAACTATTAGGTTTTATTTATAGAAATACGAAATACTTCTCTAATATTCGATGTATTAAATTATTATTTTATACATTGGTTAGAGCAAAATTAGAATATTGCTGTACAGTATGGAAACCTTACCATGTAACATATATAGATCTATTAGAGAATGTACTGAGAAAGTTTGCGAAGTATGTATATTTTAAGATGTTTGGTAGATATCCTGTCAGACACTGTGATCAAAGTAGTTTACTTGACATTGTTAGTGAAAATTCTCTACTTAGTAGGAGGAATATGTCATGTTTGATATTTTTACAAAAAATTGTAACGGGACAAATTTATAGTCAAACTCTTCTCAATGAAATTAAATTTAATGTACCCAGATTAGGCAGCCGCATCCAGATAAGTTTTTCATATAACATTCCAAACACACTTCACCACTTCAATAGTCCTCTAATAGCTTGTATTCGTTTGTATAATTATATTATTAGCAGAGATCAAAATATTGACATTTTCTTTAATAATTTTTGTAACGTTGGGATTAGGAATAAGATACTGAAAATTGTAGTTGCTGTGTTGTAATGTCGTTGTATCCACTAGAGACATAATTGTCTGCTGGAAATAAATTTACTTATTATTATTATTATTATTATTATATGTAAACCAAAAATTGGAAAATCGGGAAATCGAAAAATTAAAAAATCAGAAACTAGGAAAATGGAAAAATTCAAAAATTGAAAAGTCGAAACACCGAAAAATCGAAATCTCGCGATATGAGAAAATCAAAAGAAAAGAAAAACCGAGAAATAGAAAACTCGAAAAATTAATTAATCGAGAAATCCAAAATTTGGGAATTCCAAAAATGAGAAAATTGTTGTCATTGTGCGTAATGTGTGTAAATGTCAGTTTTTTTTCATAGATATTTTTTATTGTAGTCTTTTTTGGTGATTTTTTTCTTGTTTTGTTTCTCCCTCTTTTTGTCGTTTTATTGTCACGATTTATTCCCACAATTATTTTTCTCGCTTTTTTTTCTGAAGAAATTTTGAGCCTTTTTATTGTTTTTTGTCACGGCTTTTTTGCACAATTTACTTTCCCTTTTTTTCTGACGCTTTTTGAGCTTTTCGGCGTAAATACTTACCATTTTAAACGTGTTTTGAGTTTCTAAGAATAAAAAAATCATCACATTACATTTGGCCTTTTTGTTTTAATATGTGTACACTTCTTTTCACAAAATTATACTTAAATCATGTTTAAAATGTAAAATTTGTATAAGGAAACATCCATTTTTCAATCAGGCTCCGCCCTATAATATCAAAATCCATATTTCCTTGCAAAAATGTACCTACCATTTTTACCATGTTCTAAGTTTTCTAATAGTGTGTAATAACACTCTTCCGGTTTTTTTGACTTGAATGTTTCAATTTTTTTGTTTCTTCAGTTTTTCGGTTTGCAATTTTTCACTTTTTCAATTTTTAGATATCGCAATTTTTCGATTTGAGTTTCTGGATTTTCATTTTATATTCTTTTAATTTTTCAGTTTAGCTTTTCTAACATTTTTCATTTCTTAAACTTTTCGTTTCATAAATTACCTGTTAAGTCTGAAAATTTAAAAATCAAAAACCAGAAAAATCGAGAAATTAAAAAATTGAAAAATCGAAAATTTGCAAACACTTTCCGGTTTGAACTTCCTCCTTCGAAGATAAAAGTCGAATAAACAAAATATGCAATATTTATCTAAAAATGAAGGGATTATCGATGACTCTAGCAAACCAAAGTGATCGACACCAAGATTAAAACCCGGGATTATCGTGTCACGTATCATTGACGAATGAACAAAAACGAATTGTTTGAAAAAAAAACTAAACTAATTACGTAACGAAAAACTATTTTCTAATATTTGTTATTGCCGGCATCTCTCGAACCCTACAAAAATAAACCGCTCTATGTCAACCACGACAAGATAAATATTTTGACGAGTTTATCAAAATATTTTTCTCGGGCGTAATGGATTAATGTGGTGCGGAAAATTCTTCTGGGGTCAAGCGAAATAAATCATCGATATTTTAGAATTATTATTTTAATCATACAAGCTTGAATTTTCTAAGAAAATTTCAAAAGTCGTAATCTAGCTCAAAAATCTGGCACGGTTTTCCATTTTGTGGCCACACTATGACCAAATTCCCGCCAGTGCCGTCCTTGGCATCTATGGCCCGATTTCCCACGGCGTTAACGAATGTGCTTCCACTGGGGTTCACGTACCATTGCTGCCCCCTGCTGCCGTCTGGATCCACTACTCGAACTGTAGATCCGTCTTGGTGCCTCGCCGTGAGAGCTTTACTAATTTTCAAAACACAAAAAAATTGAGGAATCAGAGTTGGCTACGCTTCTCCAACCAAAAAAATACCCGTTAGCTTTATTAACGATGACGTTCCTGTTGCTGTTAGACGGCACCATTTTCCACAATTGAGTGTCAGAATTGCTGAAACGTCGGGTTTTTACTGATTCCTCCTTGCCGTCCAGAGCTAGACCGGTGTCTTGGTTTTTGATTGCGAAATATTTGTCGTCTGCGGTGACTATGACAAACAAAACGAGACAAGGTAGGGTAAAAAGCGACAAAAAACGCGACATCTTGTTAATGGAACACACACTGTTGCAACACTAACTGCAAATTGTTAATATATTTATATGTTTTTATCAGTTTTGTGAACATTTATCACCAAAATGTTTACAAATGATGTTGCATCATTGAAGAATAAAAAAAGGATTGCATCAGACTGACAATTTGTCAAATGTGCAGCTCACCTTGACAATAGAATTTAGTCTACTGTAAACTGGTCCCTAATGTCAGTCTGACAGGTTGATTAAGGTTCCTATTTCGACAAGGCGGCAAAGTTCAGACGATTATTAACGTTTAGTATAATTTCTGATCACAAACAACACAATTTTTTTGCCAATTAATCGGTTCTTTGTTCGTCGGTGATACCAAATTTTTATTTTAGTTGTTGTTTGATGTTTATAATTAAAATAATCTGATTAATGAGCATTCAAGGGTTATTGTAATCAATTTAATGTATTGCTTAAAAATTAATTACGCAATTATTGTTAATTATAATGTCTTTTATCGGAATTGTTATATAGTTTTTTATTCAAATACAACTAACTGCTGGCACTGTTTATACAAAATTTAGATTTGTTTTATTTTCAGATATATTCGAGTAATTATAAATAAAAATAAAGAGCAAGCTATTATCTATATACAATATTCTATTCAATTTTTCATTTTTTTTTGTTTCTTCAGTTTTTCGATTTGCCATTTTTCGAGTTTTTAAGTTTCAATTTCTCGGTCTTTTAATTTTACAGTTTTTGAATTTTGCAATTTTTGAATTGTGCAATTTTTCGATTTGGGATTGTTAAGTTTTCAATTTCTAATTTTTCAGTTATTCGATTGTATAATTTTTGGTTTTTTCGATTTTAATTTTTGTTATTTGTTAATTTTTTTTAATGTTTCAATTTTTCGATTCACAATTTTTTTCACTATTTTTTCAATTTTTCGGTTTGTCAGTGCTCTGATTTTAGAATTTTTGCATTTTTCAATAATTTGGATTGCAAAATTTTTTCCTTTGTTCGATTTTTCCATTTTCCGATTTTTAATTTTTCAGTTTTTCAATCTTACAATTTTCCCACTTTACAAATTTGAGAATTCTATAACTTTTCGATTTTTTACAATTTTTAGGTTTTCCAATTCTTCAATTTTTAAGTTTCTCGATTTCTAATTTTTCAATGTTTCGAGGTTTCGTTTCTTCGGTTCTTCGATTAGTAATTTTTCAATTATCCACTTTTTCGAATTAGTAGTTTTTCCTTTTTTCGATTTTTTTATTTTTTCCGTTTTTTAGTTTTTACATTTTTAAACTTTTCGAAAAAAATAATGCAAAAACTGCAAAATTGTAAAACTGAAAAGTTAAAAATCAAAAAACAATAAAAGTTTAAAATGAAAACTTTGAAAAATCTAAATATTGGAAATCAAGAACGTGAAAACTGAAGAAACGAAAAACTGAAAAACCAAAAAGATTGAGAAACTTAACCTATTCAAAAAAGTCCAAAACGTAAACACGAAATATTTTAAAATCGAAATATTGAAAATTAAAGAAATTGGAAAATCGGGTAATTGAGAAATCCTAAAATTGCAAAAAAACCAAAGAATTAAAAAACGAAAAATTATAAAATCGAAAATAAAGGAAATTAAAAAACCAAAAATTCTGATATTAAGTAGAAAAAATGAAAATGAAAACATCGAGAAAATGAAAAGTAAAAAATCGGGAAAATGAAAAATAAAAATTGCAAAATTTGGAAAATTTAAAAATTTAAAAATTGGAAAATCGAAGATTTGAAAACACGGAAAATTATACAATCTAAAGAGACATTTAAAAAATAAATGAAAGTAAAAACAAAAATTCGTGATTTAAATCGAGAATATGAAAATTAAAAAATCGAGAAAATGAAAATTAAAAATTTGAGAAAATGAAAAAATAAAAATTAAGAATTTGAAAAATTGAGGAAACAAAAAATTGAAAAATCGAAAATTTAGAACTCGAAAAATTGGACACACGTGAAATCGAAAAATTGCAAAATTGAAAAATTTAAAAATTGGAAAATGGAAGAATTGGAAAAACGAAAAATTATAAAATCTAAACATACGTTTAAAAAATAAACAAATTAAAAACCAAAAAGGAATTGTGATATAAAATCGAGAAAATGAAAATCAAAAATCGAGAAAATGAAAATAAAAAATTAAGAAAATGAAAAATAAAAATCAAGAAATTGAAAAATTGAGAAAGCAAAAACTTGAAAAATCGAAAATTTAGAACTCGAAAAATCCAATAACTGTGAAATCTAAAAATTGCAAAATTGAAAATTTTAGAAATTTGGAAATCGAAGAATTGATAAAACGAAAAATTATATAATATAAACAGATATTTAAAAAATAAAGGAAATTAAAAACAAAAAATTGTTATATAAAATGGGAAAAATGAAAATTAAAAAAATCGAGAAAATGAAAATAGAAAAATCGAGAAAATGAAAAATAAAAAACAGAAATTGAAAAATTGAGGAAACGAAAAATTGAAAAATCGAAAATTTTGAAATCGGGACAATCGGATATGAGAAATCCAAAAATTGCAAAATTGAAAAGAATAAAAATTGGACAATGGAAAAAATGGATAAACGAAAAATCATAAAATCTAAACACACTTAAAAAAATAAACCAAAAAAATTGTGTAAAATCGAGAAAATAAAAATCAAAAATTGATAAAATGAAAATTAAAAACTGAGAAAATGAAAAATTAAAATCAAGAATTTGAAAAATTGAGGAAGTGAAAAATTGAAAAATCAGAAATTTAGAACTCGAAAAATCGGATAACTGTAAAATCCAAAAATTGCAAAATCGAAAAATTTAAAACTTGGAAAATCGAAAAATTATAAAATCTAAACATACATTTAAAAAAATAAAGTAAATTAAAAACCAAAAAAAAATGTGATGTAAAATCGAGAAAATGAAAATCAAAAATCGAGAAAATGAAAATCAAAAATCGAGAAAATGAAAATAAAAAAATTTAGATAATGAAAAATAAAAATCAAGAATGTGGAAAACATTAAATCCAAAAATTATAGAACTGAAAAATTTTAAATTTGGAAAATCAAAGAACTGAAAAAACTAAAAATTATAAAATCTTATCAGACATTTAAAAAATAAAGGAAATTATAAAGGAAAAATTGTGACTTAAAATCGGGAAAATGAAAATGAAAAAATCGAGAAAATGAAAATTAAAAAACTGAGGCAATGAAAAATAAAAATCAGGAATTTAAAAAATTGAGGAAACCAAAAATTGAAAAATCAAAAATTTAAAACTCGAAAAATCGGATAACTGTGAAACCCAAAAAGAAAATTGAAAATGAAAAATTGTGATATAAAATTCAGAAAATGAAAAATTGAAAAAATGGAAAATCGAAAAATCGAAAATTTCGAAATCGAAAAACCGGATAATTGAGAAATCCAAAAATTGCAAAATTGAACAATTTAAAAGTTGAAAAATCGAAGAAGTGAAAAAACGAAAAATTATAAAATCTAAACAGACATTTAAAAAAAGAAAGGAAACTAAAAAACTAAAAACTGATATAAAATCGAGAACATGAAAAATAAAAATCACGAATTTGGAAAATTGAGAAAGCGAAAACAAACACTTAAAAAACAAAGAAAATTAAAAACGAAACATTGTGATATAAACTCGAGAAAATGAAATAAAAAAATCGAGAAAATGGAAATCAAAAAGGGAGAAAATGAAAAATAAAAATCAAGAATTTGAAAGTTGAGGAAACCAAAAATTGAAAAATCAAAAATTTAGAAATCAGAAAACCGGATAATTGAGAAATCGAAAAATTGCAAAATTGAAAATTTTAAAAAAATCGAAGAATTAAAAAAATAAAAAATAAAGGAAACTAAAAACTAAAAATTCTGATATAAAATCGAAACAATGAAAATGAAAAATAAAAATCACGAATTTGAGAAACTGAGAAAACGAAAGCAAACATTTAAAAAATAAAGAAAATTAAAAACAAAAAATTGTGATATAAAATCGAGAAAATGAAAAGAAAAAAATCGAGAAAATGAAAAATAAAAATCCCAGATTTGGAAAATTGAAGAAACGAAAAATTATAAAATTTCAACAAACATTTAAAAAAGGAAGGAAATTAAAAACGAAAAATTGTGATGAAAAATCGAGATGATGAAAATTAAAAAATCGAGAAAACGAAAAATGAGGAAACCAAAAATTGAAAAATCGAAAATTTAGAAATCGGAGAACCGGATAATTGAGAAATCCAAAAATTGCGAAATTGAAAAATTTTAAAGTTGGAAAAACGAAGAATTGAAAAAATAAAAAATAAAGGAAACTAAAAACTAAAAATTGTGATATAAAAACGAAACAATGAAAATGAAAAATAAAAATCACGAATTTGAAAAACTGAGAAAACGAAAACAAACATTTAAAAAATAAAGAAAATTAAAAACAAAAAATTGTGATATAAAATTCAGAAAATGAAAAGAAAAAAATCGAGAAACTGAAAAATAAAAATCCCGGATTTGGAAAATTGAAGAAACGAAAAATTATAAAATTTCAACAAACATTTAAAAAAGAAAGGAAATTAAAAACGAAAAATTGTGATAAAAAATCGAGATGAAAATTAAAAAATCGAGAAAACGAAAAATGGGGAAACCAAAAATTGAAAAATCGAAAATTTAGAAATCGGAGAACCGGATAATTGAGAAATCCAAAAATTGCGAAATTGAAAAATTTTAAAGTTGGAAAAACGAAGAATTGAAAAAATAAAAAATAAAGGAAACTAAAAACTAAAAATTGTGATATAAAAACGAAACAATGAAAATGAAAAATAAAAATCACGAATTTGAAAAACTGAGAAAACGAAAACAAACATTTAAAAAATAAAGAAAATTAAAAACAAAAAATTGTGATATAAAATTCAGAAAATGAAAAGAAAAAAATCGAGAAACTGAACAATAAAAATCCCGGATTTGGAAAATTGAAGAAACGAAAAATTATAAAATTTCAACAAACATTTAAAAAAGAAAGGAAATTAAAAACGAAAAATTGTGATAAAAAATCGAGATGAA